GACTATAATCTTTGCAATTGGTAAAAATGTAATCTTTATTCCCGTTTGTGACACTGTGGAGGCCTAAAATACGGGAACCAATCAGAAATGGATTCAAATTGTCTTGACTCTCAGTAGTATAAAGGGACTCTAGTCACAAACGGGAATAAAGATTACAGAAATTGAACGTTTTTTGTAATCTTTGATCGGCCCATTCTCAAATGCCTTTCTCCGTTCCTCCTCTCATTCCGTTTGTTCCTTGCCGAACCCGTAATTCCCTGGTCCATTCTAGAGTCCCTTTATACTGAGAGTCAAGACAATTTGAATCCATTTCTGATTGGTTCCCGTATTTTAGGCCTCCACAGTAGAGTCCCTTTATAACCCAGAGTTAAGACAACTCGATTATCAGCTGACTGGCAGCCGGCCTTGGCTGGCCATGGAGGCCGAAACGAGTGCACTCAAACGAACGATATTGAGGGATAAGGATAAGGAATCCTCCGATGTCTGTCATCCAAAAACAACAACATCAACAAAAACTGATCAAAACCTTAAAATTAGATTGATTAGTGGATAATTTCTTAATATATTTTCATTTTGGTGCGATTAAAATAACAATTCACTCTTGATAAACCACAATAAAGTTATATTTTCATTACTTTTGTTCACATTCGAGGTACCGCCATCTTGGTGCACTCGTTTCGGCCTCCATGAGCGAGAACCAATCAGAATTGGATTTTTTTTTAGGCCACTTTCAGCCTAACCAAAAGTGAGTTGTCTTAACTCTGGGTTATAAAGGGACTCTACTCCACAGTGTCACAAACGGGAATAAAGATTACATTTTTACCAATTGCAAAGATTATAGTCTGGAATGGACCAGGGAATTACGGGTTCGGCAAGGAACAAACGGAATGAGAGGAGGAACGGAGAAAGGCATTTGAGAATGGGCCGATCAAAGATTACGAAAAACGTTCAATTTCTGTAATCTTTATTCCCGTTTGTGACATCCATGAGCCGAATTGTCATGGAATTGTCTTGACTCTCAGTATAAAGGAGGGTCTCTACCTACGACTGCGCTGTACCCACCTACGTCACCAAGTCATCAAAAAATTCCAAGATGCCCGAAATGCAAACACCTTCTTTTTTTTCTCTAAGCACTGATCAGACTGATCACTGATTTGGCTGATTAATATGTAGATGTAGTGAGTGCTGAGTGATCAGGCATTCGGGCAATTACTTGATCATTTCCGCTGGCGACTGCGGCAGAAGTAAATTAATTTTGAATTCTATTATTACTTGATGAATTTATCAATTGTAAATTTCCGGGAATGTCAATGGGTAATGAAAGTCCTTTTAAGGAAGGGTATTTGCTTTTACCCCCTCACGGTGTTTTAAGTCAACTGAAGGTAAGTATGATCAATGCGTTCTTACTTTTAGTGTCAGGGTACGCAATGTATAGACATTAACTTGTCATGTTGGGATTATTGAGTGCATGAGAGTCACTGCGTTGAAGCGCTGTTGTTATCAGTCTTTGAACGTTGGTTTTCTAGCCTTCTGTCTGCCGAGTGTATCAATCTTGCAGTTTTTACATAGTCGCTTATGGAGAAATTGCGGGCTGCGAGTGTTCTTGCGCATTCATTAATTTAACCAATAGACATTATTGCAAATTTTAGAATATAATTTTGACTTACATCTTTGCCAATGAGAAAAGGTTTTGATCTCTGGGTTTTTATTTATACATTTGTCATGTAACACCTTGCGGAAAGCAACAACCCGGGAATCTCTGTACAAGTCATTTGCCAGTAGCAGCACATTAATTTCAGGAGTACTAGACAAAACAGCCCTCCAAAGCTGGACTTCATTAGCGCTGTAGTATACAGCACTCCTGCACTCTGTGGTCGGAATCTCCAGCAATAGAGATGAAGTCTGTTTCAGCCAACTTTTCCTTTTTCATATTAGGGGACCTCTGTTGCTACGTTCAATTTTTGGCAAACTGGAACAACTAGACGAAATGCGGCTATCATTGATTAGTCTGCATTCATTCATCATCTGCATTTTGACGGTGTAAGTCGGCAATCACATAACTCGGTTTCTGACATCGCAGACTTCCTGTCATATTTTATTTATGAAACGGAACACTATTCAATGACAATTCTTTGAAACTGCCATGATTTTTCTCACCTGTGCCAAGAAAATTCCGTATAAACTTCAAGAAATGATGTCAACGTGTTCTCCTATAAAAAATAACGTAGAGGCAGAAATTTTCAGACACCACAAACGAGTTATGTGATTGCCGACTTACACTGTTGATTTGCTTAATATGAGTCATAGGACTATGATGAATTGCTGCATGAAATTTAACAAACAATCAATTAAAACTTAGTCCATTGATTTCACAGTTGAGTAATAAACCTAGATGCCCAAGTAGCACAGATTGCAATAAGTAGCAATTGCATAGTCAAAATATTGCAATTCCACTGAGTGTTGTGTATGTTGCCTATCTCCTATTTGAAGAAGCCCCCATTTATTGAAATTTGTTGCAGTAAAAAAATAAGTTGCGATTTTTCATTGCATTGCATGTTGCCTATCTTTCTGACACATGAAGCTCATTTTATTGATCGTTTAAAATCAGCAAAAATCGAAAATCTTGCAATTTAATGGTTAATCAATTACAATTTTATTGAAATCAAATTGCAATTTAATTTCAATATTTTCGTTGTACTGTGTTACTTGAGATGGGATTCTATCAAATCAGAAAACTGACTTTTTTTGACCAATTGTTGGAATTTCCAAAACGGAAATAGGTACGACAACTTCACATGATTACCTTGAGGATGACTAAACTATTCTCAACAGTTTACAACTGAACATTACATTTGGATCACATTTAGCAAAAAAGAACCTGGTTACAGTGTTATTTTCAAACTGGTGCGATGTCCCTTTTACTTTTAAAGAGACTTATTATGCGTACAGTATCAAAATTGACCCCATTATTTTCCTTTTCCTTTAAAATTACTTAACAATTTTTTTGGTGGGAAGCAATGGCTGTTCACTATTCAAGGAGATTTTTCACATAATTATGAAGAAGCAACATTTTTACAACACTGCAATTGCACTGGTTCCTTTTTGCTAAAGCGTCCAGCCAGAGTTAAGAAATTTCATGAAAGATTATAAAAAGAAATTTCATTTAACACGCAGAATTCAGGATTAAACCCTTGAAACTTATGAATCTCCTCAAGTTCATTTATATTCACGTGGTAAACTGTGAAAGGGAACTATAGAAATGCCCAGAAAGTTGAGTAAAACAGCAAAAACATAATTTTGAATTTTTTATCTTAAATTTTGGTTGAACACACAGCCGTACCGGTTGAACACCAAAATAAATTTTACGGATAAAATAAGATGTTAGCTTTCATATTTGGAGCAAAACAAATGTCTTGACTATAAAGAATCCTAGTACCCCCTAATAGTATATCCTTCTTTTTTGGTACAAAAGGGAGGGATCTTGAACTATCTTTGAAACGATTTAAATGATTTTTTCATTTGTCTCTGATTTTTTCAGAAATTAACAGTTTGAAATTTGAGGTTCCCGGGTTCGAATCCCGGTGGTGGCGACAAATTTTCATGGAACTGACGAGTGGATCTGTAAGCAGAATTCGCTCGGCCTTAATCCGTGAAATTTGTAAGCCCGAGCATGGATGTCTACCAAACTCCCTGATGTCTTCGGACAATAAATAGTGCCTATAGATGGCTGTAGATTCCTAAAGGAATAGAAGCCACTAAACTCTCANATTAAAAAAAAAAAAAAAAAAAAAAAAAAATTTGAGGTTAGGGTCCCCGGTCCCCCTCCCCATGATGAGCCAGAACTGCCAGCAGAAGAGAAAGAGTAAGAGAAGACCAGAAGAGAAGAGCTGAGAGAAGACCGCGCTCCAACTGGTCTAATTGACGAATATTATTCTCTTTGAAAATAAAAACAAATTCTTTTGGAAAAAATAAGCATTTTTGACATTTTGTTGGTCGAAAGAAATTTCATTGGGAAAAAAGAAAGAACCCCGCACAGAGCATGGGCTCAGCGGCTCTCGGTGAAAGTTGATGAAACTTTAATAGATTGTTTTAAAGTTCATAATTAAGGGAAAGCCAAAAAATTAGCTCACTTTTACGAGTAGAAGCTGAGATATTCGCGATTGAACTCGGACTATTTTCTGTGCGGCGGAGGTAAATGGGCGCTCCGCGTCGCCGTCGCCTTACCTTGCTCGAGCACTTCGGCCAGGAAACCCCCTCTCCCCACCAGGTAGCTACAATGTCGCATTGTTTACACTCACAAGGGGAACTTACGGACCTGCCGCCTCCGATTGGGCTGAATTTTTTTTTACAGACTCTATGGACCAATTCTAGAGGTTAAGTTGAGCCGTTTTCCCGAATGCGCATTAGGAAGGGCGTGAAAAATTCCCAAAAGTTGCGTTTTCGGCGTGTGATTTGGTCGTGCGGCGCGTGGCAACACTGAAGCAGCCTCTTGTACCGCTTTATCGGCCTGAAGGTTTCAGCGGAGTCCGGAGCCCTACTGCACACGTACTGGCTCCATGATAGTGATGTCCCGGGTTCGATCCTCGACTTTTTATTTTCCGCATGATCACGTAAC